GAGAGAGAGAGAGAGAGAGAGAGAGAGAGAGAGAGAGAGAGAGAGAGAGAGAACTTGCACAGACCAGAAGAGAGTCTAGGAGCACCAGTAGCTGGAGCTATGGGGGGTTATGAGCCTCTTGGTATGTGTGCTGGGGACTGAGCCGGGTTCTCTGCAAGAGCAGTAGAAGCTTTAACTGCTGAACATCTCTCCAGTCCCAGCTTTATTTTTTTTGGGGGGGGGGGAGTGCTCATGTCTAAGACTAAGACCAAGGATGATTTTGAATTTCTGGCTTTCTTGCTTTCACCTCAGTTCTGGGATCACAAGCATGGGACAGCACACATAGTTTAGTACTGTGCTGGGGCTAGAACCCAGGGTTTCCTGCATGTTAGGCAAGCACTCTACCAACTAAGCTGCGTTTGCAGCCATGCTCAAACTCTTCTGCTCCCATCTTTCAAGGGCTAGAATTATAGGGGTACCACCACTATATAATGGGCACCACCCACCATGACCAGCAAAATGTACTTCCATCTCTTTTAGTTTGGGTGTGTTTGAGACAGTTTGGTTATGTAGTACTCGTTGGTCTGGTACTCGCTAAGTAGCCCAGGCTGGCCTCAATTTTGGTAATTCTGCCTCTGAATATTGTCTCTTCCTTTTTGAATATTGAGAGTATAGGTGTACACCACCATGCATAGCTAATGATGTTTTACTTTAAAGTTTTTATCCAGGTGTAATAGCTCATCCTGAAATCCCAACACTTTGGAGGTAGAGGCAAGAAGATTAATAGTTCAAAGTCAGCTTGGGGTGCATTAGACTCTGCTTCAAAAAACTATTGTTCTAAAGTGCACATGGGACCACTCCTTTTTTAAGAATAAATTTTCTTAAAGCGAATTAAAAAAACAACAACACATAGCCAATTTGTTTCCCAGAAAAATCACAGGAATTCACACTCCCATCCAAATATTACCACCTCACTAACTTTTAAATCTGTCCTTTTTTCCCTCGCATTTCTTTCTACACTATATTCTGGTGATCCCTAAGTCTCTATCTGCACTATATTCTGATGATCCCTAAGTCTCTATCTGCACTATATTCTGATGATCCCTAAGTCTCTATCTGCACTATATTCTGATGATCCCTAAGTCTCTATCTCTAACACTCATCATGCCCTCAAGCACCAGGCAAGGATTTTCAGCTGCCAGCTGGACATCGACACCTGCACGTCTTCTAAACAACTTTGATTTATTTTAACCGAACTCATTTCTCTCATCCTCAATGTACTCCTCTTTCTGTAATTCCAACGTTGATTGATGGTGCCTGGTCGGAAAACCAGGGGCCATTTTCAAGTCCCCCCTTCTCCTCCCTCTCCAAATAGTAACAATAATGAATAGTTACCAAACAACTACTTTGTGCACATAGAAGATCTCATTTCATTCAATTCTCACAACAGCTGCAAAGGTAGCTTTTAGTTTTATTTCCATTGCACAGTTAAGGAAAACTTTGTACAAGTTTTACACAGGTTACACAGATAGGGGCAGGGATTTAAACCTAGTCAGTCTCAATCATGGTCCCCACATTTAATTAAGTACTATACTGTATCATCACCACATCTAATTCATTCTCCCACAATGTTTTCCCTTAGTTTTTTTTTATTATATTTATTTATTATGTATACAATATGCTGTCTGTATGCCTGCAGGCCAGAAGAGGGCACCAGACCCCATTACAGATGGTTGTGAGCCACCATGTGGTTGCTGGGAATTGAACTCAGGACCTTTGGAAGAGCAGGCAATGCTCTTAACCTCTGAGCCATCTCTCCAGCCCTTTCCCTTAGTTTTTTATATGTATGTGCATGTGCCTGCTTCTCTGTATGTGCACCACGCAGGTGCCCTCGGACAGGAAGAAGACCTCAGAACTCCTGGAGCTCAAGCTAGCCCAAATTGTGAGCTACCCAATGTGGATGCTGGGAACTGAATCCAAGTCTTTTTTTTTTTTTTGCTCTTAACCACTGAGCCATCTCTCTAGCCCTCACCACTTCTTGTCGGTTCCTTCATAGTTAGTCGCATTCAACTTAAATACATTTTCCCACGTTACTCGCAAAATAGTCTCTCTTGAAAAAATAGGATCATACCCTTCTTACTGCTTTTCTCTTAAGATTCTTCAGTGGTTCCCTATCACGTATCATAAAGTCAGAAACACTCTGCGTAATATAGAGGGCTCCCTCTCTTCTGCCCATCCCCATACACTCTACATCTCAAAACATTTCCATTACACAATCTGAATTGGTGATAATTGCCTAAAAATACTGTAGAGTTTCTTCCTGTGATGGCTTTAAATATGTTACTTCCTGTGCCAGAAATTGCCTTTCCCCATTTCCACTATTTCTCTGGTATGCCCTTAAAAGTTTTTTTTTTTTAAAGATTAGAATTTTTTATGTATATGAGTATTGCACCACAAGTGTGCCTGGTGCACATGAGGTGGAAGAGGGCAGTGGATCTCCTGGAACTGGAGTCATGAGCCACTTTGTAGGTGTTGGGAATCAAAGTCAGGTCCTCTGCGAGAGCAATAAGTGCTCTTAACTGCTGAGCCATCTCTCCAGCTCCTATTCTTTATGCCTTTTTGTGTGTTTAACTCTGAAGTGTCCTCCTCTAGGAAGTTTTCCAATTTTTGTTTTGTTTTGTTGAAACAAGGTCCCATTATAGCCCAGACTGGTCTCGAACACGCTGTGTAGTAGAGGGTGGCCTTGAATTCCCGAAGCGCCCGTCTTTGCGCTGTTGCTGGGCTCTTGGCGTGCAGCACCACGTTCAGTGCAGTCACACAGCTTCCATCTGCTACTCTGAACGCTTGCTTATATTCGTCACATTCAGTTTGTTCACTTGATTTTGCTTAGAAAGTTAACTCACGGTTGGCCGTGGTGGCGCACGCCTTTAATTCCAGCACTCAGAAGTCAGAGGCAGGCAGATCTCTGAGTTCGATGCCAGCCTGGTCTACAAAGCCAGTTCCAGGATGGCCAGAGCTTCATAGAGAAACCCTGTATCTGCAAAACAAAAACAAAACAAAAAAAAACCCCAAAACAACCCAAAAATCCAGTGCTTGGCACTTAAGTAGTTTATAGATATCAGTTATATTGAATTAAACAACTTAATTGTCAAATTGTAAGCCCTTGTGTTTGTTGAAAGAATTCAGACATCAGGGGTAAGAGATTGCTTTTTAGGAGGTTAGGTGAAGGGTGAAGGAAAGATGTCCTAAAATTCCCACTTGTCTACCCCTTAATATGGGACATGAAGGACTGGAGAGATAGCTCAGTGGTTAAGAGCACTGGCTGCTCTTGCAGAGGACCCAGCTTTGATTCCCAGCACCTACATGGTGGTTCAGATCTATCTGTAACTTAAGATCCAGCAATCTGACATTCTCTTCTGGACTCCTCAGGCATTGCATGCACATGGTTCATGGCCATAAATTCAGCAAAATATGTAGACACATAAAAATACTTATTTAAAAATTAAAATTATAAAATAATCTTTTAAAAAAATGGGAAATGTTTTGATACCAGCCTGATGTACAGAGTTAGTTCCAGGACAGCTAAGACTGTTACATACAGAAACCCTGTCTCGAATCCCCCCCACTCCCAAAATGTGGGACACGTATAAATGAGTTTTTAAAAATGTTTATTTAACAACTGGGGATATAGCTTATTTGGTAGACTCTGGATCTGATCTCCAGCACTGCACAAAACTGCATCTAATGGAGTATTCCTGTAATCCCAGCATTTGGGAAGTACAAGCAGGAGGGTCAGAAGTTCAAGGTCACTCTCAGACACAAAGCAAGTTTTAAGCCAGCCTGGAATAAACGAGACAATGTCTCAAAACTATAAAAAACAACCACAAATACTATTTCTAGCTGGACATTTTTTTTTTCGAGACAGGGTTTCTCTGTGGCTTTGGAGCCTGTCCTGGAACTAGCTCTGTAGACCAGGCTGGTCTCGAACTCACAGAGATCCGCCTGCCTCTATCTCCAGTGCTGGGATGAAAGGCATGCGCCACCATCGCCCGGCCATGGTGACAGAGACCAGTAACACCAGGATTCAAGAGGCATCGGCAGGAGCATTGCTATAAGTTTGAGGCTATCTTGGCTTACATAGCAAGTTCCTGGCCAGCTGGGATAAAGGTAAGACACTGTCTCAGCATGTACATATGTGCGAATGCATTTTCCACACACGTATATATGTTTTTCTAGAGATGTTCTCATGTAGACACGTATCTTCATCCTAGGTCGCAAGCAAGCTCAGAGCATAGCCAAGTATGGATGGGGTTCTTCAGAATATAGACAGAAGTTAATAAACATCCTAAATGAGTACACCTGGAATTAGTAGAATTAGTGGTTACGGAGCAACATGTGGAGAATCAAGATACACCCACTATTCCTGAAAAGCAAGAACCTGAAATCATTATTGTTTACCCAATTCGAGCTTGCTGCTTCCCTGGCACCATAATGTATTGCTTGCCGAATGCTCAACTGTGTGTAGCTTGAACTGAAACTTATCAGTGGCACAAGCAGTGGGGCTGCATTCTACATTTTTGGTACTGTTGTTGGAACCCCACCTTCTATTTTCATGGAAAATCCGTACTTATTCAGGACCTGGGGTTTCAGCCTATCACTTTAGGATAACAGCTTGCGGGGCAGTGCCCACTGCTGATTGATGCACGGGATGAGACAGTTTCTGGGATTGAGGAACACAGATTGGCGGAGTCTGCGTGTGGTGCTTCTCCAAGTATTGTACAGGGAGTATTAGAGATGCAGGTTCCGGGGCAGCTGCCAGTCCCACCCGGAAGTCTGAATGACGCTTTCACCATAAAGTACAAGCCCTAGTCAGCATGGCGGCCACTCAGGGCGACGGGCCCGACAGTCGGGCGGTGTGTGCGTGCACGCATGCGTGCGCGCCTGCGCGTCGCCGCCGTCTGTGGGTTGGCTGATTATTTTGCAAGCGGGAGGGGCCGTGCGCGCTCTTGCCTCAGGCCTCTGTCCCCCACCCCCTTCGCCGGTACTGGTCTCTTCTTCGGAAAGATGTCGGACACGGCCGTGGCTGACACTCGGCGCCTTAACTCGAAGCCGCAGGACCTGACCGATGCTTACGGGCCGCCAAGTAACTTCCTGGAGATAGACATCTTTAATCCACAGACGGTGGGCGTGGGCCGCGCGCGCTTCACCACCTATGAGGTTCGCATGCGGGTGAGTCACGGGGTGAGGGAGACAGCTGAGGGAGGACGACGCGGCAGGGGAGGGGGTATGGGGGACGACTAACGGCGGGCAAGCTTTGAGGGGGTCATGTGAGGGTTAGGGCATGAAAGGGTTAGAGAGAGGGCTGCAGACTCAGTTGTGGCCTGGGGGTACACAAAACTCCAGAGGGGACTTCGGGCGGGGGCGGGGGGGGCGGTGAAGGAAAACAAGTACTCACGAGGCAGAAGCGGAGCATGGCTGGACAGGGTGTGGAGGATGGACAAAGATTAGTGAGGAATTTAAGTAGATTGGAATCATGATTGACAGAAGGACGAAAGGGGAGGGTGGAAGAAGGCGGCGGGGGGTCGTTGGGTCCCATAACTAAACTAGGTTATGGAAGTCATTCTGAGGGGTGGGGGCGGGAAGGCTGGGCTTCTTCCTAATGAGATCTCTCTGGGATGGAGTTAAGCAAACCTTGTAGTTCGAGGAAACACACCAGAAAGGGAGGCAGTGGGCTTGGGAGAGAGAGCAGAAGTGGAAAGGCAACCCCGAACGCTTTGTTGACTTTTCTAAGAATTACATCTGAAAGAGAGAAATGTTTTATGTTTGAGTTTCTTAGGTACCACAGTGCTGTGTCTTACGTGAAGCCCGGCCCTGCACTGGGATTGGTGGATTGTCAGTTGCTGCTCCCATCCTCTGCTGATCCTTTATATTTGAAGTATCCAGAATGTTTACTTCAGTTTTTATTGGCTCCCACTTGAGATTTTTTTTTTTTTGTAAAAGGCTATTTGCCTTTTCTGTCCCTGGTCTGTATTTACTTTAATACATGGCATTTCAGAATGGCTCTAGGAATGGCTTCTTCCATTTTGTACCCTAGGGGACTTTATTCTCTTAGTCCACAGTGCTTAGTCCATAGTGCAAGGATGGAATGTGCAGATAAAGTACATGGTTCATAAGTATTTTTTTCCCCAGTTGAAGTGGAACAGGCTACAAAAATTGAGAACCATTTTTTTTTTTTAGTTTTCTTTGTGTTTTCTTCTCTGTTTAGAGAGCCAGGATAGTCTTTGTGAAGAGCATCCCTCTTGAATACCATTGAAGATCCAAGAGGCATATGGTGCTCTCATTTTTTAGAAGAATTGAACGAGAATGTTCTGCCTGTGCTTGACATTCTTAGGAAGAAGCGGTCCTCTCCAAACTCAGGGCTAGTGAAAGCTGCATGAGAGCCCTTGTCTTCCGGAGACGAGACTATTTGAAATGATCGCTTTGGAGAAGCATGGGATTTATGTTCTTTAAACTACGCTAAAAGAGGAGTGTTAATGGAGGAAGGCTTAATTACTCAGGGAACTTAAGTTTAACTTGCTCAGGCAGTATAAAGACTGCTTTTAGGGTTTTGGAGACTTTGTCTAAATGCATGAGAGCCTTAAGGAATAGTGAGGAAATCGTTCTCTACTTTATTCTGATAACAATAGAGACCATCCATCTAGTCCCTATAATGGGTCAGGCACAAACTAGGCTTTAGTTTCCTTTTTTTCTGTTTTTTCGAGACAGGGTTTCTCTGTAACTTTGGTTCCTGTCCTGCAACTAGCTCTTGTAGACCAGGCTGGCCTCAGACTCACGGAGATCTGCCTGCCTCTGCCTCCCACATGCTGGGATTAAAGGCATGCGCTACAACCGCCTGGCTTTTTTTTTTTTCTTTTTTAAGTTTTTTTTTTTTTTTTTTATTCTGAAACAGGGTTTCTCTAAGTAACAGCCCTAGCTGTCCTGGAACTCATTCTGTAGACCAGACTGGCCTCCAACTCAGAGATCTGTCTGCCTCTACCTCCCGAGTGCTGTAATTAAAGTTGTCTGTTGCCACACCTAGATAGTTTTTTGTTTGTTTTTCAACACAGGGTTTCTCTCTGTAGCTTTGGAGCCTGTTCTGGCACTTGCTCTGTAGACCAGGCTGGCCTCAAACTCACAGAGATCTACCTGCCTCTGCTTCCCAAGTGCTGGGATTAAAGGCTCGCACCACCACTACCTGGCTATACCTGGGTAGGCTTTAGTTTCTGTATACATTTTGAAAAGTAGAAATTAGGAAACATGTAGTTTTAGTAATTTTCCCAAGTGTATATAACAGTGTCAGATAGGGGCTGGGATTTGAAACTAAGTCTCTAACTCCAAAGTCCATGTTCTTTGCACTACTTTGTTAAGGCTTAGTTGCAAAACTTAGTATGCAAAGTGTACCTAGAACTTTTTCACCAGTCCCTTCCACAGTTCAAGTTGTATAATGTGGTGGTTCTTCATTCTGTGAGTTCCAGTTGATTTGAGGCTTCCACTCTTATATTGAACTCTGATTTTTGGAAAAATCTATAAAATCATTTGGATTTATTTTTCTGGTGCCAGGGATTTAATTCAGGCCTCATGCATGCCGAGGACACACTCTTCCATTGATCTACACCTTTAGCTTTGTATAATAAATATTGATGAAGCTATTCTCTTTAATTTTATTCAGGAATGGATCCTGCTTGCCTGAGGAGTCTGGAGAGGTGCTATGGTGGTCCTCACATCCTTATACATATTCATATGGATGTTTCTTTTTTTCCCCCCCGAGACAGGGTTTCTCTGTGTTGCCCTGACTGTCCTAGAACACACTTTGTAGACCAGGCTGGCCTCAAACTCAAGAGATTTGCCTGCCTTTTCCTCCCAAGTGCTAGGGTTAAAGGCATGCGCCACTGTACCTGGTTCATATGGATGTGTCATTGTGGGCTTGATTTTTGTGTTTTTTCCTCTCCTTTCACTGTATTTTGTGTTGAACAGAACCCGCAAACCCTCAATATCCTATATTATACAATTCCTGCTTCCTCATATGATTCGTAGTTTGCAGACCAGACACTAAACTATGTAGAAGCTGTTTTCTTAGAAGGCTAGGTGCTGAGATGGAAGGACAGTATTTTCATCATCCTTTGGGGGTAAGGAAAGAATAGGGTTTTTTGTTTTTAGTTAAACAAAGCCCATAAAATGACAGTTTTAAAAATTAAAAACTTTAAAAAATTATTTATTTTATGTGTATGAGTGTTTTACTTAAACATCTATCTATGTATCACGTGCATCCTGGAACTGGAGTTACAGACAGCTGTGAGCCACCACATGGTGCTGGACTTGAACCTACATCCTCTGGAAGAACAAGTGATCTTAAACACTGAACCATCTTTCAAGCCCCTTAAGTTTTTTGAATTTCTGAGACAGGATTTCTCTGTGTAGCTTTGGAGCCTGTCCTGAAACTCTGTAGACCAGGCTGGCCTTGAACTCACAGAGATCTGCCTGCCTGTACCTCCTGAGTGCTAGGATTAAAGGTGCGCCTCACCGCTGCCTGGCCCCTTTAAATTTTTCAAATTACATCTCTATGTATTTATTTTGTGTTCAGAGGAAGGGTTGCAGCACATGTCAGAGGACAACTTGCAGGACTTGGTTCTCTCCTACCATATAGGTCCTAGAGCTGGAACTTGGGGTGTCAGATTCTGATGCAAGCACTTTTACTTGCCCAGTTATCTCATCAGCCTCCAGTTTTGTATTTATTCTTTTGTTTTTCTTTTCTGAGTTTCATGTAGCCTAGGCTGGCCTAAAACTCAATGTGTAGCTGAGGATGACTTTGAACTACTGACCCTCCTATTTCCACTTAGCCATCCTGTTAGGTTACTTGTTTCTTCCTTTTTTTTTTTAAAAAAAATATTTAAATAAAAACATTTTTTGAGCCGGGCGGTGGTGGCGCACACCTTTAATCCCAGCACTCAGGGAGGCAGAGACAGGCGGATCTCTGTGAGTTCGAGACCAACCTGGTCTACAAGAGCTAGTTCCAGGACAGGCTCCAAAGCCACAGAGAAACCCTGTCTCGAAAAACCAAAAAAAAAAAAATTTTTTTTGATTTTTTTTTTATTAAGAATTTTTTTAGTACAATCTTTTCTCATTTTACATAGCTTTCCCCATTCCCACTCCCTCTCCTCCTCCTGCCCCACCCTTTCCCTTGTTTCTTCCTTTTTAAAAATAGTTTGGTTCTTTGAGAATTTCATCCAATACATTTTGACATTGTTCACTCCTACTCTCCTCCCAATTCCTTCCTGATCTATCTTTACCTCCCTCTCTCTCCAACTGTGTGTTGCCTTTAAAAACCAAACCAAACCATTGTGTTGACCATATACTTCTGGGTACAGGGCCATCCACTGGAGGGAGCATTGTGGGCATACCTAGGGGCCACACTCTAAAGAAAGCTGACTCTCTCTCATTTTGTTTATTCTTTTAAAGAATTGTTTAGATGACAAAATGTTATATATAGCAGACTCCATGTAAACCTATTGATATTTCTTGAACCTTGAAGATTTTGGGTAGAGTTGGAGCTAATGTCAGCTGGCCAGTTATTGCCTGGGGAGGTGACTTCAGGATTTGTGAACTGTAAAAATAATGTAGTAAGGACCATCTGAAGCTCTACCAGATGCTCCTTTTTTTTTTTTTTTTTTTTCCTTTTTTTGGTTTTTCGAGACAGGGTTTCACTGTAGCTTTGGAGCCTGTCCTGGAACTAGCTCTTGTAGACCAGGCTGGCCTCAAACTCACAGAGATTGGCCTGCTTTTGCATCCTGAGTGCTGGGATTAAAGGCGTGAGCCACCACCACCCGGCTCAGATGCTCCTTTTTTATCAAGAAGCGGTTGTGTTGAGAAAAAAGAGATGGTTCCTTTTAATACCCACCTATTGCTCTGAATTGCCTGGCAAGAAATATGGTCTAGATTAATATATGTATTTGACCATTTTCATTTAGAACTTATAGACAGTAGTGAAGAGTTGGTCTTTTTATGTGTTATAAGTTCCTCACCACTAGAGCCTGAGGGGTCTTCTCAGTGACTAGGAATGAGGAAGCTACAGAAAGCTAACTTATATGGAGGCTGTTCATTCTGTATTTTTTAGGTAAAAGGGGTAACTTTCTAGTTAAGTTTCTAGTTTCTATTGAGTATTGCTAACTTACATTTTGGGAGAAGCAAAAGTCATGTGCTGTTTTTTTTTTTTTTTTGAGACAGTGTCTTACTGTGTCATACTGGCAAGTCTAGAACTCTCTGTAGTGGCTTGTTCTCAAACTCACAGAGATCTGCCTGCCTCTGCCTCCTGAGTGCTGGGATTAAAGGTGTGCACCACCATGCACAGTCATGTGGTTGATCTCTTCTTTTTTGTTTTTTGTTTTGTTTTTCTTGTTTTTCGAGATAGGATTTCTCTGTAGCTTTGGAGCCTGTCCTGTAATTTGCTCTGTAGACCAGGCTGGCCTCTAAGGCAGAGTTCCACCTGTCTCTTCCTCCGGAGTGCTGGGATTAAAGGCATGTACCTCCAGGTTCATGTGGTTGATCTTAAGATCATCACTTAGTCATGTAGACAACATACAGGATGCATAAAACGGTGAAGAAAACCTAGTAATGTGACATTTTATAAACTGTGGGGATGGAAGGATCAGAAGTTCAAGGTCATCTCCTGCATAACAAAACCCTTAGAAATGGGGATGTGGGTGTATTTCAGCTGGTATGTATTTGCCTAGCATGTATATAGATAGCCCTGGGTTTGATGCCCAGCACTGCATGAACTGGGTATGGTAGTACACACCTGTAATTTCATGAGGAGGCAGGAAGACAAAAGTTCAAGGTAATCCTTGGAGGTGTAGGAAGTTTGAAGTCAGCCTATGCTATAGACAGGGTCTCAAGTAAAGTGTAACAGGGAGGAGGTAGACCACAATATACCTAGCTGGTATTATCAGGAAAATTTTTCTGAATGAGTGAGAATTGAGGTAGGACTTATAGGAACGATTGGGATAAGAAGGCAGAGGGAAGCATGCCTTGGAAGTCTAGAGAATGATCTGAAATAGCCGTAAAATGATTTTGAATGAGTGAGTTTAATTGTGTGACAAGTCAGAGTAAAAGAATAAATAGCAAGAGATAGACAGATAGCAACATTGTCAAGTCAGGTACTCAACCAGCAGAAATTGACTGGGGAAGCACCTTTAAGGCAGCCAGCTGGAATTCCTCAAACAGAGAGTCCCAGACAGTAGAGTGTCACCTCAGGTGAGGCTTCCAAGTAGAAGGACAAATAGCAACAAAAACCAACAAATAGCATCGTCAAATCAGGCACCTTTAAGGTCCAGCAGAAACTATCCGGGGAAATTAGGCAGTTAGCTGGAGTTCCTGATTGAGCTTTTTCTCCATGGCTGAGCTTCCACTTCTCATTCCCACTGCAGGTATTTTTATATCACAGGATAGTAAACATATGTTGGAAATGCTTTACCTTTTAGTTGTTCCCAAAGACTTCCCTCCATATCACAGAGATAGAAAGGGAAGCACATCTCCAGACAGGGGAGCCTTAGAGGACACTCTAAGACAACACATGATTTACCGATGTAATGTACATTCGAACATGACTGTAAGTCTTCTCTGTAAGACAAATTTAAGTAGCAAAGAATTTTATCTGTGTATTTATGGGGTGGAACCAAAAGCCTTGGGCATACTAGTCAAGTGCTCTTACCACTGAGCTATATATACTCTTCAGCCCCAGCAAGGGACTTCTGATCCCCAACTATGGTAAGATTGGGTATGGTAAGGGTTAATTTATACCTCGTGGTGTTTTGGAAAAATTTCAGGTATATGGTCCATAGGATCAATTTTTCTTTTTTTTGTGATGCTGAGAGTCAAACCCTGGTGCTCATATGGAATAGGTAAGTGACCTACCACTGAGAAACAGAGAAACTGTTTCTTCATTGAGACTTCCACTGGTTCTGACAGGTGGGCCCCACAGGTTGGTTGAATAGAACTTATTGCCCATTTTCAGTTTGGTTGGTTTGTATTTTTGCAATAGTGTCTCACCATGTTGCCTAGGTTGATCTGGCATTCCCTATGTGGCCTAGGTTGACATCAAACTGCTGATCCTCCTGCCTCAGCCTCTTGAGTGTTAAAAGTGCGTGCCCCAACACCTAGCTTCTCTTCACTCATTCTTTCTTCCCTGTAGACAAACCTACCCATCTTCAAGCTGAAAGAATCATGTGTACGGCGACGCTACAGTGACTTTGAGTGGCTGAAAAATGAGCTGGAGCGAGATAGTAAGGTATAGCTCATCCCCTAATTAGAACCATTGGAGTAGGCAATCTGTATAGGCTTGGAGGGTATAAGATCACAGCTCATAAAGTCTTGAAGTAGGTAGGAAGGGTGAACACATTCTATAGACACAATCTCAATATATTGGTTCCTTTGAAACTTAGAGGTTTAGGGCAGAGTTTTGTTATTGTTGTTTTCAGTATTGCTCCTTTTTGTAGCCCTGGCTGTTCTGGAGCTAGCTCTGTAAACCCGATTAGCCTTGAACTCAGAGATCCATCTATCTCCCAAATGCTGGGATTAAAGGCCTGCACCATCACTGCTTGGATGACTGTATTATTTTTAAATGTGTGTGTGTTGTATATGGTGTAAGGGCACACACAGTACATACAGGCCAGAGGACTAAATTGTGTGTCCTGCTTCACACATTTTAGACAGGATTTCTCACTGAATTTGGAACTAGGCCGGCAATCTCCAGCGATCCTTCTGTCTCTACTGTTCCACACAACTGGACTTTTTGGTTTGGGTCCTGGAGTCCATATTCATGTCCTCATGCTTGTGTAGCCAGTGTTCTTACCCGATGAGTCATCTCTTCAGCCCCATAAACAATAGTTTTTATTGTTTTGTTTTGTAGTTTGTAAAGTTAATAAACTTCTATAAGTGCAAAAACATGTCAAGAAAAGCTTAGCTAAATGCTTGGATGGTGCTGGATTGTTGAGGAAAGTGAAGAGTGCTTGAAGTTTCCTTTCTTTTGAGATGGTAAATCTGTCTTACAGAAATCAAGTTGATCCACATGAGCTAGCCTTACTGTTCTAAGCCTTAGCTGGACCTAGGCATGGTGGATCCCAGACCAAAAAGAATTGAGATACACAGTTTCCCTGGCAGGCAAAGCCAGGAGGATCAGAAGTTCAAGGTTATCCTTGGCTACGTAGACAGTTTGAGGCCACGTTGCAGAAATGGGTCTAAGGAAAGGAAGGGAGAAAGAAAGGGAGAGAGAAGGAGGGAGGAAGAAGGAAGAGAGAGAGAGAGAGAGAGAGAGAGAGAGAGAGAGAGAGAGAGAGAGAGAGAGAGAGAGAGAGAGAGAGCGCACAAGAGAGCGCAAGTGAGCCCTTTACCATCTTATTTGCTTTCTTGCCCTCTTCAACTGGGCTGCTATTTGACTGCAGATTGTAGTACCACCACTGCCTGGGAAAGCCTTGAAGCGGCAGCTCCCTTTCCGAGGAGATGAAGGGATCTTTGAGGAATCTTTCATTGAAGAAAGGAGGCAGGGCCTCGAACAGTTTATTAACAAGTAAGTCAGTTTCCTGGCTGCTCTGTTGACTGTGTCATCATGAAATCTCTCTCCCCTATCTCCCCTGCCCACTTTTCTCCCCTCCCCCTTCTTTGTTCCATACTGTCCTCTTTCCCTTTTTGCTGGGGATTGATTCCAGAAACTTGTGTATGCTAGGCAAGCACCTCTAAGCTATTATACTCCCAGCCCATCATGATCTTTCTACATTTTTTCTTTGTCTTTTTGTAATAGGTAATATGATGTAGCGAGCAAACTGGATAGTAAAACTCTGATCCTGTATGTCAAGGCCTGAGAGTGTAATGCATGTTAACCCTTTTAACTAGAATTTTCCTACACTGTCCTTCTGTTCCACTTCCCTTCTACAATATTAAGGTTTATGTCATACTTCACTGCTGTCCTCTAGAGTCTCAAACCTAAGGGCTGACCATGCCCTTTGTCCTCTCTTCACATTCCTATTCCCCTGCCAATTCTTTCTGATCCCAGAAACTACTGATAACCGTTTTGGTCTCTTTATAGAATTGCTGGGCACCCACTGGCTCAGAATGAACGCTGTCTACACATGTTCCTGCAGGAGGAGGCAATTGATAGGAACTACGTCCCTGGGAAGGTGCGCCAGTAGGAGTCCCTCTCACCACTTGCCCTCAACTTTACCTGCTGAAATGACATTGGTTTTTACACTAAGCCTCTCTCTCTTTTTGATCTGAAGTTGGCTGCCCATCCCCTGGCCTGATAGACTGTCTTGCATTGTGTCCTTTGGTACCAGACTAAACCATGTGGGCACTGTGCTAGTATCTCTTCTCTGAAGAGAGGTGGGAAACCACAGGCAGATGCTCTTTGCTTGGGGTTGGGGTGGGGGAGGGATTGGAGTGGAAGGCAATTTTTGGGCATTTTACCCATGTCAGAAGGCTAACCTTGGGGGGTGGGGGGTTTGTGCTGGTGAGGCACTGGGATATATTACTGATGCTGCAAGTCTAGGGGCTTTTTCTTATTCTTAGGTTTCACAAGGAACACTGAACAGGGAGAACCTCTGCTTTTCTTACCTGCATGACAATTTTCCTTTGGGGGGGAGGTAGTAGAGACCCAAAACTTCTTGTTTTTCTAGGCCTGTTCCCAGTTTTCTCAGCAATTTTTTTGTTTGTTTTTTTCTCCCTTGTTGTTTTTCATGGCAGTAATCCTCCTCGAGTTTAACCAGTCTGATATGTGGAGCAGGGTGTATGGGTATTATGGGCCCATCATATGGTTATTGCAAAGTCAAGAAAGCCATAGGGTAGTAGGCTGTTCCTATTGCCTAGCCCCTAGCCCTTTATGGCTTCCTACTCTGACTGTCTACATTTTGCTCACTAGCTAATGAGTCAGTATGGGCCAGCAGTTCTCCCTCCTCAACCCTTGTGAATTTATGGGTTAGTTTTGTGGGTTTTGAGGAATAAGAGCAACTTACCACTGCCAGGTGACTTCCTGAATGGTGGAGGGGGTCATGTTCTAGGTTTCTCTATGTAGTAAGGAAGAGCAACATCACTTTCCTCCTTCCATTCCTCCTTTTCCCATGTCATTTAGTGCTGTTCTAAGGGCAGAAGCACACATACCACAGCTTCTGGTTTCTCCTAAGCACTTTGAGCTATCAAATGGGGCTCAGAGGCAAGAGTTGTCTGCTGCCTTCCCCGGCTTGGTCACAGGGTTATTGAACTGCCTGCACTTGTTTCCCATGGAACTCCAGTGTTGTTCCCAGAAATGGGAATAGAGCTAGCAGCTAAATAGAGAGTTCCCCAATCTTAGAGGCTAAAGCAGCTTCTTGAGGCTGGCAGCTCTCCTAGGCTATTGTTTGGAAGGTGGTGGTTTGTTTACTGGGACCTGCTGTCTGTCCAAATGGTGGGATGAGAGCAAGTTAACTCTGGTACTAGGTGAAAGTGGGGCCTCGGGTTAGACTCCTTATTGTGGAAGGATTTGTGTTTTCTATGTAAGTCCTTGGGGGGAAAGGATTGCTGATTCTGATGTGATCCTGGTCCGAGAGATGAGGATTAGATTTTGACATGGTCTTGGAGCCCATCTCATTGTTGAAGATCCTTGAGATAGCTCTCTAGCTGCTGTACCCATGCTGGAGGCTGAGCAGCCCCTTTCCCACCTCACCAGTGTCCGTGTCCTTGCTGCCTTTTGATTTGTATCCTCTGTTACAGATATTTTTTTAAACATTTCTTCTTTCATTGTGCACAAGTGCTGAGACTCTGAGGCCCCATTTCTGCTGTGTATATATCCTGACTCGGGGCTTTTATTCAGCAAGCTGTTCATTCTTCTGTCAGACAATGTCATATTCAACTCTGTTCATATTAAACCACTGTGAAGCAAGCCTCCGTTTTCCTCCTTAAGTTGTAAATTTACTGTTTCCCAGTGTTGAGCGCATGCTGGGTATTGTGTAGAAGTCATGCAACATGGCCATTGTCCTGAGGTGATGAGTAAACTTTGCATTTATATTACATTACAGAAAAGTAGAATCTGCTTGTAGTAGCCTATGGTTTCTTGTTACTTACAACTGACTTTGTTACATAGATAATATATCTCCTTCCAGGAAGTAGCCATATAATACCTGTGGTTTAGGTCAGATTTAGCATATTTGATTTTTACATTTGTGGAGTTTTGCTAATTTGAGTTGAATGTATTTACATTACATGTGTTTATATATGCATAGTAATGTGTTATAACATAAACATACATATAGACCCATCCTCTGGTGCACCCACATATCACCAACAAACAACGTCTTTCATTCTTTTTACCTCATTTAATGTTGCTTCATTGTGTTGTTTTTCAAACAGATTTGATGCAGACAGGAAGGTGGGTGAAATCCTGAGAACTTCTGATGGGTCTATGTTTTCATCTGACTAATATGGTCTGTACAGAATGGGTTCCAGCAAGGTTGGAATGAGGGAGGTAGGAATCTTGGCATTTGGTAAAGATAGTTTTAGAGCTGGATATGATAGTACATGTTTGTAATCCCAGCATGTCAGAGGTGGAGGCAGGAGGATCAGTTCACAGTCAGCCTTCATTACACGGTCAATTTAAGACCAACCTGGTCGATATGGGACCTCGTCCTCCTAGAAAAGCTACTTTTAATTTACTTGAAAATGAAACAGTGGTATAGAAAATGATGTGGTGGTGGCGCACGCCTTTAATCCCAGCACTCGGGAGGCAGAGGCAGGCGGATCTCTGTGAGTTCGAGGCCAGCCTGGTCTACAAAGGGAGTTCCAGGACAGGCTCGAAAACCACAGAGAAACCCTGTCTCGAAAAACCAAAAAAAAAAAAGAAAAGAAAACAAAAGAAAATGATGTGTTCAAAAGATGAGGACATCACAGAAACTCAAGAGTGATAATTTGGTTTTAAATAGAAGAGCCAGCTGAATTAAAGAAGTTAAGAAATTTTTGATCATTAGAGAATGAGCTGACTAAAATATATCTGAGGGAATAGGAAGAATAGGTATTTCTGTGAGATAAAGGAAAGGGGTGATCAAGCCATACAACCTTCATAGGCAGCAGTGTTACAGAATGAACTGGAGAATAACTAGAAAAAGCAGCTATAAAATAAAGTACTAACAATATTTTAGGTATATAGTAGTCAGCTAGGTAGGTGCAGGGTAGGGTGGTCAAAGTACAAGTAAGAAACGTTCTGTTTCGTCACAGACTTCAGGATTCAAAAGTTCTCTATATAAGACAAAAATGAGAGATAAATATGAAAGAAGTTTACCATATCTAATTATCCCCTTTCCTCACTTATTCTCTTATCAGAGGCAAGGTTTCACTTTGTAGCCCATGCTAGTCTGGAACTTGTGATCCTCCTGTCTCTGCCTTCTGGGTGATACCACTGTATGGGTGATTTCCTTTTATTATTAATTTCAATTTTCAACAAGTTTAATTTTCTATTTTTGGAGGAAAATTGGCCATTTTAAACCCAGTCATTAGGTCCTTCCACTATGAACCTTAAATCCAAGTCGTCTTACCCATCCAACGAGTGTTTACTACTACTGAGTCCCTTTTTTTCATAGCTCAGAAAGATTTAACCTTATATTGGGTTCTAGGAGAGAACAAATCGTACACATAGCTAGACCTGAAAGAAGCCTACATTTTAACATTCCAAAGATGCCTTACCCACCCTTTGACCTATTGGAGATGAGAAGTTGAGCTAGTAAAGCTGGGAGAGGTGAACAACAACAGGCTTCACGGGATTTTGTATGCTACGTATCCTAGGTGAGACACTTCTGTGTTGAAATACTTGGTGTAATCATTTAAACAGAATCACCTGCTGTGGAAATTCAGATCAGCAGCTTACTGAAATGGATATTTCTTCATGTCCTTGTGGGCTGTTGAGTCAATTCTGGTATTCTCTTAGGCACAATAACCATTCTAATTTTCCTTCGCTTGGTTTTTTAACCCTTTTGTCTTTATAGTTCTGAAATTTCTCCAGTCTTCACTTGTACCTAAGCAGGGAGTCGAAAACTGAGTACTACTTTAATTATAGCCTAAAGGTTAAGTGGTTGTTACTCTGATTATACATTCCTAGTAATTAAGTTTTTTTTTTTTTTTTGAGATGGGTCAAGTAGTTGAGGCTGACCTTGAACTAGCTATATAGCCAAGTAGCTCCTGAACTTCTGATTCCATTCTCATATGTTGGTGTTACGGGCTTGTGCCACCACACCTGACTTTTTTAAATTTATTTTTTATTTTATTAGACAGGGTTTCACTTTGTATCTCAGGATGACCAAAAACTCACTATTTACTTAGGCTAGGCTCAAACTCTTGGGTGATCCTGCCTCATCCTTCTGAATGCTGAAGTTGCAGGAGTTAAGTCATCATGACCAACTTCAAGATTCTTTTAAAATATAGACTCATGGATAATTTAGTTTGTGATTCTTTGCTTCCCCCCTTCTGACCACCCACCACTCATCATTCATCTTTTCCTTTTTTGCTTTGCTTATACAACAAATTGTCTTAATTTTATTTTTAGATTTTTCTTTCCCACTTCCCTGTATGTGTGTGTGTCTGTCTATGCTTCTTTTTTTAAAAAAATACTCATTTTTATATAAAACAAAGTAGGAATAATTATCAATATCACAAAAGGATTCTTTTTTTTTTATTTTCTGACACAGGGTTTCTCTGTAGCTTGTAGCCTGTCCTGGAACTAGCTCTTGTAGACCAGGCTGGCCTCAAACTCACAGAGATCCACCTGCCTCTGCTTCCTGAGTGCTGGGATTAAAGGTGTGCACCACCACTGCTCAGCTTACAAAAAACATTCTTTAAACCCTTTGAGAGCTCCTTTAAATAGGTGGTTTCTATGGTGACTTTGTCTGTTTTTGACAGTCTTCACTCTGTAACAGTAGCTAGCCTCAAACTCATTATGTAGCCCAGGCTTAGCCTCTTGATTGCTGCCATTTACTGTTTTATGCCAAGATACCTGACTTTTCTCAGTGGTTTCCAGTGTTTGTATGTAGATAGAAATTCCTTTACCTAGAGAAATTGAAGGTAAAGGATAAAGATGGTTAACAGGAACTGTCAGCTGGGGATTAAAAATTACGAGAAGAGGGCTGGAGAGATGGCTCAGTGAATAAAAGCATTTATTGCTCTTGCAGAGAACCCTAATTTAGTTTCCAGCACCCACATGATGGCTCACAACCATTCGTGACCCCAGTTCCAGGGAATCAGATGCTCTTTTCTGACCTCCATGGGCCCTAGGCACATCTGTGGTGCACATATATGCAGGCAAAACATTCACATAAGAGAAAACAAAATTTTGGTCATGAGAGATGATGGCTCAGTGGGTAAGAGTACTGGCTGCTCTTCCAGAGCACCCTGGTTTAATTCCTAGCTCACATATGTCAGTTTGCAACCATCTATAAGCCCAGTCTCAGGGGATCCCACATCCTCTTCTGGCTTCCATTCACTGCTTTCACATGGTACAGTACACGCACAAAGGTATACAGAAATAAATTATAAATAAGTACTTTTTTAAATTAGGAAAAAGCTGCAGTTCATGAATTCGTAGAAATTTTATTCATGTGTTTCTTTTTAAGAAAATGTGTCAACAATGCTTTTTCATCTAGTTGCAGTAAGCTCTTAAAATTTTTTTCTAACAGGTATATACATTTTAGTTTGTAAGTATTTTTATTCTAAGATGCAGTAACTTTTTGTTGAGAGTCAGTTTTTCAAGGCTGTGGTAATGGAGGTATATACATTTTTTGGAGACAGGACCTCATTATATATAGCCCTGGCTGTTTTGGAACTCCCTATGTAGACCAAGCTAATCTCAAACTCACAGAGATATGCCTCCCCAGTGCTTAAATTAAAGGGATATACCACCACATTTAACTACATTCTGATTTTTCTACATAATTTTGTTCTAAATACAAGGACTTCTAGCCCAGGCATGGTAGCACATGCCTTTAATCCCAGCACTGAGGAGGCACTCTGAGTTTGAGGCCAGCCTGGTCTACAATGCTAGTTCCAGGACAGTTAGGGCTGTTACACTGAGAAATCCTGTCTTGAAAAACCAAAATACATACACACACACACACACCTAATATTTATGAGACAAGAATATTTGATACTATATCATCAGACTGAAGACTCAGGAAAATGTGAAAGGAAGTAAAAAGAATACCAGGGCTAGAATAGAAACCTGACTTCTGGATCTGGCTGTGACTGGCTAGAGGACCTTAGGTGAATTGTTTCAAGACTTCAGGCTTTTCTTCTCAACTATAAAATGAATATATTTGATTGAATGATCATATAGGTATTTAACTAAGTTTATAATTGCCCTAATTTTACCTTAAATCTTCTAGATGAAAAATTTTGGTAGTAATAACTTACATGGAGTTGTGTATCTGTGTCTTTTGAAGACAAAGTCGTGCTGTGGAGACAGTGATAGCCTTGAATTTTCAGTGATTCTCCTTTCCATGGCTATGATTACAGGCATATGCCACTACACCCAGCTATGGAGTTATTCTTATTTAAATTATATAAATTATAACTCTGTTGATTTGACTACAAAAGAGTCTCTTTTGTTAAAATATTAGTTGATTTTTAAAATTCAAAAGCAGTTTATGTAAATGGACAAAATTTCAACAAAACAAGCATATAAAGAAAAAGTGAAATATTTTTCCTTATTCTTCCCTATTCCCATTCTCTAAAAATGACTTTTAACTGGTGTATCTTAAAGCTACCTTTCCCCTCTTCTCTCTCCCCTCTGTCCTCATATATACACCTATAGGGACATCCACACATATGTAGTTTTTTAAATAGAACATTGTTTTACTACTATGCAAATTAATATGTTATGGAATGTACTATGTATTTCTTGCA